GGGGCGGTGAGTTCTCCTCTGACCTCCTTGCGGGGTTCTGTCGAGACGAGGGCATCCATCAGACTTTCACGCTCTCGGCCTCTCCTCAGCAGAATGGGATTGCTGAGTGTCGCATTGGCTTGATCATGGAGGTTGCTCGCACCTCCATGATCCATGCGGCTGCTCCCCATTTTCTGTGGCCGTTTGCGGTCCGATACGCTGCGCATCAGCTCAACCTCTGGCCCCGTGTCTCTGTGCCAGAGACCTTGCCCACCCTCAGGTGGACGGGGAAGGCTGGTGATGCGCCAGTGTTTTGGGTCTGGGGCGCGCTCTCCCTTGTTCGCGATGCCAAAGCGAGCAAGCTCTCCTCTTGCACTCTCCGCTGCGTCTTCCTTGGCTTCCCCACTGACGCCCCGCCCTTGCAGTTCTACCACCCGTGCTCGCGTCGAGTCTTCTTCTCTCAGGACGTCACCTTTGACGAGTCTGTCTGTTACTACCACTTACACCCGCACGCGTCCCACCCGGTTCCCCTAGCACCCCTCTTCCTGGTACCAGTCCCCCCCCCGGTAGACCCCCTCCCCCCACAGGGTCCTGCTCCCTCAGGTGTGTCTCAGGTCGACCCACCCCCCTTGGATGAGCCAGTGGAGATCTCTTCTGACTCCTCTGGCCCAGCTGAGTGGGGTGACCCACTTGCGGACGACACGGCGGCCACTCACCGCTCTCCACGCTTGGAGACCCCCCCGGGTTTTCCGCCTCGACCGTCTTCGCCCCCTCCGCAGCCTGCTGCTGTGGACTCTGGAGCTGAGACTACACGTGCTGAGACAGAGGGTGAGGGTTCTGGAGGTGCTGTGCCTGGGGGTGCTGGTTCTGGGGGTGCTGCGACTGGGGGTGCTGACTCTGGGGGTGCTGCGAGTCCTAGTGGCGGTGGAGTTGTGGGTGACCCCGTTGGCAGTCCTGGAGCTGGGGGTACTAGAGGTGCTTCTGTTACTGGAGGTACTAGAGCTATCACTACAGGAGGTGCTGGAGCTGGACAGCCACCGCAGCCTGCTCTACTTGAGACACTCTCGCCGCAGGCGATTCGTGCGTGGGTCGTTCGGCGAGGCAGTCCTGGTGGTGGAGGGTACAGTCCTACTGGTGCTGGAGCTACTAGTCCTAGAGGTGCTACTGGTGCTGGAGGTACTGCTGGAGGTACTAGAGGTGCTGCTGGTGCTGGAGGTACTGGAGCTGCTAGTCCTAGAGGTACTGCTGGAGGTACTGGAGTTGCTGCTGGTGCTGGAGGTACTGGAGCTGCTAGTCCTGGAGGTACAAGAGCTGGAGGTACTGGAGCTACTGGTGCTGGAGGTACTGCGGGCACTGGAGCAGCTGGCACTGGAGGTGCTGGTGCTACTGGTGCTGGAGCTGCGGGAGCTGCTGGTCCTGGAGGTGCTTGTACTAGAGGTACTGGAGCTGCCGGAGCTGGTGGTGCTGCTCGTGCTGGAGGTGCTGCTGGAGCTGCTGACCCTGGAGGTGCTGGAGTTCCTGGTGCTGGAGGCGCTGGAGCTGGAGGTACTGGAGGTGCTGGAGCTGCTGGTCCTGGAGGTGCTCGTACTAGAGGTGCTGGAGCTGCTGGTCCTGGAGGTGCTCGTACTAGAGGTGCTGGAGCTCCCGGAGCTAGTGGTGCTGGAGGTGCTGGAGGTGCTGGTGCTACTGGTGCTGGAGGTGCTGCTGGGAGTGCAGGTGGAGCTGCTCGTGCTGGAGGTACGGGAGCTGCTGGTGCTCTTCGCCACCTTCTCAGTCTTCCGCCAGGTGCTACTGACTTTCCTGTGGCAGGTACTACTCCTCCGTTACTGTTTCCACCGGCCGACCAGTCTCAGCCGCCGCTGCTACCGCACTCCCCACTGCCTGCTCCTACTCCTTACACTGCGGTGACACAGTCCCTGTCTGAGCGTCGAGAGCCTGAGACTCGTGCTTCCACCCCTGAGCGTCGAGAGCCTGAGTCTAGCTTTGACCTTGAGCCCGAGCCTAGAGCCGCTGTCCGTACTTGTGTTCCTCGTGTTCTTCGTCAGCGTGCTCCTGCTGTTCCAGGCACTCACGATATGACACTCCGTCCTTCCTCTGTTCCACAGCGTGTTGTCCTACCGTTACCTCCTGCGTCCTCTCTTCCTGACGTTGCTGACCCTCCGTCTGACCTTGCTCGTGCGTCCAGTCCGATTGTTACTCGCTTTCTTGCTATGGTGGTGACTGACCCTTCGTTCTCGTCTCCTGCTGCGTCTGCCTTAGTCGCTGAGCTCGTTGCCTTTATTGTTGTGTACCGCCTAGACTACCCTGCGAGTCTTGTTTCTGACCCTGTCCCTGCCTGTCCTCCGTCCGTCGGGGGTGAGACTGCCCTTGGCTGTACTGCCCTTGGCTGTGACGTTCTTGAGGACAGACAGGAGGAGCTGGAGTGCCTTGCGGCCGCTGCACCCCATCTCGCGACCATGCTGCTTGCCCCTGAGGGAGACCCGGATGCACTTGACATCCCCACCCCGCGCTCTTACGCAGAGGCGATTAGGGGTCCCTACTCCTCTCAGTGGCAGACAGCCATGGACGCAGAAATGGCTTCCTGGAAGTCCATAGGCACCTACGTCGACGAGGTTCCCCCACCTGGGGCGAACATCGTCAGTGGCATGTGGATTTTCAGGGTGAAGCGGCCGTCGGGTTCTCCGCCTGCCTTCAAGGCACGTTACGTTGCTCGAGGCTTCAGTCAGCGTGCGGGGGTCGACTTCTTTCAGACCTTCTCCCCCACCCCGAAGATGACCACTCTTCGGGTGTTGCTACACGTTGCAGCTCAGCGTGACTACGAGCTGCACTCCCTCGACTTCTCCACAGCTTTCTTGCAGGGTAGCCTTTATGAGGCCATCTGGTTGCGCCGTCCAGAGGGCTTCACTGGGTCGTTTCCTGAGGGTACCCAGTAGAGCCTACGGCGACCAGTGTACGGCCTGAGTCAGGCGCCCCGCGAGTGGCACGACACACTGAGGACGACACTTGCGGCTCTTGGGCTTGCTCCTTCGACTGCTGACCCGTCGCTGTTTCTACGCACCGACACTACTCTGCCGCCGTTCTACATCCTCGTGTACGACGATGACTTGGTTTTTGCTACTGCTGACACTGAGGCACTGGCCCTAGTGAAGGCGGAGCTGCAGGAGAGACACCCCTGCACTGACCTGGGGGAGCTGCGGAGCTATCTTGGCTTGCAGATCACCCGAAACAGAGCACGTCGCACCATCACCCTGACTCCGTCACACATGGTGCACCAGGTCCTTCAGCGCTTCGGCTTCACGTGGTCCTCGCCACAGCCCACTCCTCTGTCTACCGGCCACTCGCTCTCAGCTCCACCTTCGGACGAGTCCGTAGAGCCGAGTGGTCCGTACCCAGAGCTTGTGGGTTGCCTCATGTACCTTATGACGTGCACACGACCTGACCTCGCGTACCCTCTCAGCCTCCTGGCTCGCTACGTGGCACCCGGTAGACACCGAAAGGTGCACTTTGATGCTGCGAAGAGGGTACTGCGTTACTTGTGCAGTACATCGGGCATGGGGCTCGTGCTTGGAGGACGGAGTTCAGTGGTACTCACAGGACACTCTGACGCTTCTTGGGCCGACGACCAGGCGACTCCGCGTTCGTCACAGGGTTACACCTTCAGTCTTGGCTCTGGTTCTGTCTCGTGGAGGTCCACTCGTTCTTCTTCTGTGCTTGGCTCCAGCTGCGAGGCCGAGATCTACGCTGGGGCCATGGCTGCACAGGAGCTACGCTGGCTGACCTACCTGCTGACCGACTTGGGGGAGCGGCCTCGTTCTCCTCCAGTTCTGTACGTCGACAACAAGGCAATGCTTGCCTTGTGTCGCGAGCAGAGACTGGAGCACCGAACGAAGCACATTGCTCTTCGCTACTTCCTTGCGCGTGAGCTGCAGCAGCGTGGTCAGCTGCGCCTTGCTTTCGTGTCCTCTCAGGCCAACACTGCTGACGTCATCAGCGTTTCTGCACTGCTCTTGGGCTTGTGCCCACTCTGCCTCACCTGCTGGTTGCTTGACGTGCTCTTGTTGTACTATGATATATATCTTTATACCTGCTTGTTTACTCTTGCTAGGTTGTGATCAGTGTACTGCCTTGCTATTATGACTCTGCATGTGAACTGGCCTTGTGGCCGCTTGCTTGTGCTTTGATTGTGTGGTGTCCTTGAGATCCACCCTGAGCTTTGCTTTGCTTGTTCTCCTGCTTGCCTGGTCTTGTGACCGTCTGTTGTGTTTGCTATCTCCCACTTAGCCTATGGGGGTGTGTCAAAATGTATGTTTGTGTTCTCTCTAGGCTATAGTGGGTTAGCCTACAAGGGGTACAACACTTCAGGGTTAGGTACTTGTACTCATGCATGCTACCTAGTCCATCATTCCTGCCTGCTTATTCTAATAGGAAACCCCCTGCCTGAACCCGCAGAGGAGGGTTCGCGGCACCATAAAAGCTGCACTGGTAGGGCATATTCCACCCCCTTCTAGAGGGTTCGACTGGAATGCACCTGCCTGGCAGCGCATGACGCTGTGATTGGGCCGCACGGCAGTTTCCGAGTCAGCGGCGATGCTTCTGAACTCGAATGTGCGGTGGGAAACCGAATCGCGGCTGTTTTCGCCTGGATTTCATGCACGATTCCACGCGAACGTTGTTCGGCCGTATTCGCCTCATGGAGAGCTTCAATTTGGTATGTCTGCGCACTCAATTAGAAGCGCACCGTCCTAAAAAACCCTGTTTTATTATAAGCGCACCTGCACTTATATCCGGGGTGATACGGAACATTGAGTATATAGTTCAATTGTAAAGGGTCCACACTAGTATCAACATTGAGTTGAGCAATATCCATGCAGCATGTCACACATCACCACAGCCGCCAATTCCTCCTCGGGTGATTGGAATCCCACGCAAGCTCCCGCAACCACAACAAACCGTGAAAGTAAAACGCCACGGCATAATCCGTCCAGTTATTTTCCGCACTTCGTTGCATAGTTCGTAGCTCGATGGGTGATTTAGTGTCGGAGGACCATGTAGTTGAGGAGCTAGTCAGATCCTTGGAGGATATACCCATCGGCGTTGCGGATGTTCTGACGGTTCTCCAGAGGTTGTGCTCGGAGCACGACCCCAAGGCCATGTCCGCCGTGCTGCACCATGCCCAAGCATACGCGCACGACGACTTGCCGCGGCTGCGCCGCCTCGTGTTCCTCCCCATGCGCTTCTTCGAAGCCGCGAGCCATTACCCACTTCCTAAATTCCCCGCGGTTATGCCAGGTACTGTCGCTGCTAACGCCGCTACCGTAACCTCCGCACTCTTTCTTCAAGAACGCAGCCGCTGAATATATAGACCTGCCTAACGAATCGCTTGTCTATTTTGTCTCCGCCACGGTTTTCCGTGGCGGCATGCATCCTTGTGCACGCGTTGACTGTTCGTCGCGTCTATCCTCTCATCTCCGCTTCACTTCGCTTCTCTCCCCTTCCGCACCGTAACCTCTTCCCGTTCCCTCCCTCACACCGCGCAAGCAATCCCCTCTCTCTCACTCTCTCCCCAACTTCCACGCTCTCACTGTCTCACGTTCCCGCTCTCTCTAAGTCAGCAGTCTTTCACAGAATCCGCGCTGCTTCTCAGTATCTCACGTCCCCACTCTCACATCAGCACCCCCGCTGACCCCCGTTCCCACCTGCGCTCCCCCCCCCCACTCCGCCCCTGCCACCCATCTTTCCAGAACTGGCGGCGTCATTTTTCGAGGACAAGAAGGAGGTGGTCGCTATCAGAGCCGCGCACCGACGCATGGACGCGCTGGTCACCTCCAAGCAACTCATCCTGCACCCACGCACCGGCAGCCACTGCTTGCATGGGGACCTGGGTCGGCAGCAGGAGGAGAGTGAGCGTGCGTTCCTGCTTGCGGATGGGGACGTTAAGTGGCAGGCAAACGGGGATGTGAAGCTGCAGGTGAATGGGGACGTGAAGTGGCAGGCGAACGGAGACGTGCGGAAGGAGGCTCTGCCAATCACCCAAACCACGTCGCACTCCCTCCTCCTATCCTTCCTCTGCCACCTCGGCCGCCTCGCCAGCACCGTTGTCAAGGTCCTTCCCCGCCCACTCTGCTAACTCTGACACCCCTTCAGCACACCCTATTTAATAATTTGCCGATTGCCATCGTCTTTTAGCTTCGGTTTCCTAGTGCCTTTTTTGTCACCCGGTGAAGTCTGATCGTTTTTTAGTATCTTCTTCTGGTTCTTCCTTTCTTCCTCTTTTGTGTGTGTGTGTTTTTTTTTAGGATAATCCGCCCAGTGCGATATTGTGAGTGCTCCTGTGACCACTTACTGACCAATCCGTTCCTACCTTTGTCCCATGCCCATCTCTGCGTGTCCACATCCATCCACATGCCCGGTGCCAAACTCAACCCATCAGGCCTCTGACAGCTATCTTCACCTCAACCAGCAGCTGGCGCACATGCTTCAGCCCTCTCCCGCCCTGGACTCAGCAACAGTGCCCCTAAGTTTACAGGATAGGCTCAAGTCGCTGCACAGTGCGCTTGCTTGCAGAGAGAGCCGCGTGGATGCTGCATGGAAGCAGCTGTGTGTATTGCAGGGACAGGTGGAGAGGGAGGTGAGCCACCTGCGAGAGGCGATGCAAATAGCAGCAACAGAAGCGTCCACAGCAGCAGCAGCAGAGCTTAGGAAAAGGGAGGAGGTACAGCACAGTTGGGGGTGGCGTTTTCGCAAGCTTTGGGATGTTTTCATCCGAAAACCTCTGGTGTCGTGGTTGTCGATTCTGCTTTCCGTTCCAGCTGTTTGCTTCCTGCTCAAGGTCTGGTTTCCGTGCTTCCATTGGCTTCTACCGTAGATGTACATATACATATATGCATGTACCGTAGATGCATACCGTAGATCTACGGGCTCTCTACCGTAGATGAAATATTTCCCAGATCCGGGCATGTTCAAGATCCATAGTCTGCCTCTCCACTTCCTTGTAGAATGGTACATGTACATATATGCATGCTGTATAGTACAAATATTTGGAACGATTTTAGCAAAGCATTGGCGATGTGCCCTGGATTCTTAACATGGTATTTTAGACTAGGTTAGGTCCCTTCCGTTCCCGACGGTTCCCGATGCACGGAACATTCGCGTAACACATGGGTTACCTGCCTTGTATGGTGCCTATATATAGCGAGCCACGCAGTTGTACCCATGATTCATATATGAATTTTATTATAATTTATGAACTCGATCCTTCGATCCTCATACTTGCTGTCAAATATATAATATCTGGTATAGGCTGTAGTGAGGTGCCTTCTAGGGGGTACAACATTTAGGTTTGCATATTTGTACCCCATCCTGTTTCTAGTTCACACATTCAGTTGTGCATGCTTCCTAGCCTAGCCCGTGTTCGCGCCCTCCGCGCCCTAGCGCCCTCCGCGCCCTAGATCCCTCCGCGCCCTAGCGCCATCCGCGCCCTAGATACCTCCGCGCCCTAGCGCCCTCCGCGCCCTCCGCGCCCTAGATCCCTCCGCGCCCTCCGTGCTCTCGCGCCCTCCGCGCCCTCAGTGTCAAACATTGCATGTTCTGTTCTGTAGGCTATTGTGGGGCTAGCCTTAGGGGGTACAACATTCTAGGGTTTCATACTTGTACTCCCAATCCTGTTAGTCATTCATCATTCCGTCAGTTCACATTCTAACATGGTTTCAGAGTAGGTCCCGGTTAGGACCGTTTTTTTTAGGGCCCACCGTTAGTTCCGCTCGTTCCTGCCCGTAGCGCCCTTGCGCTGTCCTGCCCTGCCCGATAGGAGTCGCGCTGCCCTGCTACCACACGCTCTGGCTGCCCTAGCGCGCTGCCTGCCTTAGCGCGTCGCGCTGCCCGTGCTCGCTGCGCGCCCTGCCTGCAGGCTGCGCCCGCTGCTCGCGCGCTGCCCCTGCTGCTCGCGCGCCGCATATTGCTGCCCGCGCGCTGCTCGCCCTGCCCGCGCGCTGCTGCGCCTGACCTGCTGCTGCCGCACACACTACTGCGCTGTGCCCAGCCAACCGCGCTGCTACTGCTGCTGCTGCTGCGTACGCTGCTGCTGCTGCGCAGCTCCTGCCCACCGCGCTGCTGCCGCTGCGCTGCTGCGCCTGAGCTGCTGCTGCCGCTCGCACTGCGCTGCTGCTGCTGCGCCTTAGCTGCTGCTGCTGCACGCGCTGCTGCGCTCTGCCCTGCCGAGCCGCGCCACACCGCGCCGCCCTGCCCGAACCGCGCCGCGCCGCGCCGCCCTGCCCGAGCCGCGCCGCCCTGCCCGAGCCGCTCCGCCCTAACCGAGCCGCACCGCCCTGCCCGAGCCGCGCTGCCCTGCCCGAGCCGCGCTGCCCTGCCCTTGCTTAGCCGCACTGTCCTGCTGCTGCTGCTGCTGAGCGCTGCTACTGCTGCCACTGCCACTGCTGCTGCTATGGCTACTCCTACTTTGCTCACCTTTGATGCCGAGGGGCACCCGATCGAGTTTGAGAACTGGCTCGAGGACTTAGAGTGGTTCCTTAAGAGCGTCACTAGGGAGGATATCTCACTATTTGAGCATACCTCCGGGACTGTCGCTAGCCCTACTGAGTCCACAGACCAGAGAGTTCGTTCTCAGTGGACCGCTCGTGACGCCAGTGCAGCCCTTGCTGTCCGTAACCACATTCCGCCCGACCAGCGCTCTCATTTTCGCCAGCTTAAGACGGCCAAAGCGCTTTACGACGCTGTAGTCAAACGCTATTCCTCCCCGTCTTCTGCCACGATAGGCCGCCTTGCGCTACAGTTCCTCTTTCCTGAGCTCGCTGACTTCACCACTGTAGCCGACCTCATCACGCACCTGCGCTCTCTTGACACCCGTTACCGTGCTGCTCTAGATGCCGACTTTCTGGCTGAGAACAAGCCCCCCATGTATCTCACCCTCTACTTTCTCACGACTCGCCTCCCTGACACGCTTCGTGCTGTTCTTGATCACTTCCTCTCTCTCGACCCCACCAAAGTCACCATAGACTCGTTTGAGAAACGCCTCTTAGAGGCTGAGTCTGCTGCCCTAGCTGTAGCTGCCTCCCGTGGCACTCCCCTCCCCTCCGTCTTCGAGGGGTGCTCCCCCTCCCTGCTCGTGTCCTCTGTTGCCTCTGCTGCTACTGTTGACTTCCTTGGTGCTGAGGATATTGGTGCTGCGTCTGCTCCTGCTGGGAGGCGCAAGAGCGGCAAGGGCAAGGGGGGCAAGGGTGGGGGTGGTGGGGGTGGTGGGGGTGGCGGTGGTAGTGGCGGGGGCGGTCGTGGTGGAGGTGGTGGGGGAGGAGGAGGAGGTGGCGGCAGTGGAGGTGGAGGGGGTGGTGGGAGCAGTGGGAGTGGTGGAGGGGGCGGGGGTGGCACACGGGGTGGAGCTGGAGGGGGTGGAGCTGGAGGCTCGACTATGCGCACTGCTATGTCTGGTGGTGGAGCCGGTGGTGGAGGCGGCTCTGGGGGTGGACAGCTGCAGCTATCGCCGCAGCAGCTTCGGGAGTGGGCAGTCAGGCGTGGCAGCTCGGGTGGCCCAGCTCGCTGTGGGTACATCCGTCGCACAGGTCAGCCTGGCGCGGCTTGCACCCGCACTGATCACACGGAGTCTCGCTGCTTCTTTCGCCTCGACGACCTGTATCGTGCGGAGCATGGTGAGCAGATGAAGACTCCTGACTGGTTAGCTTTGCTGAAGAAGGACATCGATGTCTTTGCTTGTGATTGGGACGTGATCCATGCTGGCATGTATGCGATGTATGCTGCTTCTGCTAGTGTTGAGGGGGTCTGTTACTCGTGTGTGCCCAGAGTTGCTAGAGTAGAGGTTGCTAGCCTTGGTGCTTTTGACTCAGCTAGCACAGGTGCAGAGCCTGAGGAGGCCTTGCTCACTTTCACTCTCGACTCAGGAGCGTCTCGTTGCTTCTTCCGCGACAGCACCACAGTCACACCGCTCACAGTCCCTGTCCCTGTCACACTGGCCGACCCCTCCGGGGGCCCGGTAGTCGCGCGTGGCGGCATTGTTCTCCCTTGTCCGGCGGCCCCTTCGGGCCTCCTCACAGGTCTCCACCTCCCCTCGTTCTCTAAGAACTTGATGGCTACCTCTGTCCTCCAGGACCACTGGGTCACTGTCACCCAGCATGGCGGCGAGCTAGTGGCGATCTGTACGGACTCGCGCATTGGTGAGCACCTCGCCACGTTCACTCGGAGGCCTGGGTCTGGTCTGTACACACTGACCACTGAGTCTGCACTGGTAGCTGAGTCAGGTCAGGTAGCTGCGTCGATTAAGGTCGCTGCGTCTTGCTCGTGTCGTCTCCTTACGCACCAGACTCTCCTCTGGCACCACCGTCTTGGCCACCCCTCCTTGCCACGCCTTCGTGGCATGCACTCCCGTGTCCTTGTCTCTGGGCTTCCCAGGTCCCTGCCCCCGCTCCCGAGGTCGCTTGCGCCGCCGTGTCTTCCCTGCGTCGAGGGGCGGTAGCGCGCCGCTCCTCAATCCTCCTCGTTTCCTCCGACCACAACTCCTCTGCAGACCCTCCACATGGACGTGTGGGGTCCATCCCGAGTCCCTGGACAGGGCGGAAAGTGCTACTTCTTGCTGGTTGTCGACGACAACACGCGCTACACCACGGTCTTCCCCTTGTAGAGCAAGGCGGAGGTCCGCATTGTTCTGATCCGCTGGATCCGTGCTGTCCGTCGCCAGCTCAGTGCTCGGTTTCAGCAGGACCTCCCGGTCCTGCGACTGCACTCTGATCGATGTGGTGAGTTTTCCTCCGGCCTCCTCAAGGAGTTCTGTGGTGCTGAGGGCCTCCGTCAGACGTTCACGCTTCCGGCCTCTCCACAGCAGAATGGGATTGCAGAGCGCCGCATTGGCTTGGTGATAGAGGTTGCTCGCAATTCCATCGTCCATGCGGCTGCTCTCCATTTTCTGTGGCCGTTTGCGGTCCGATACGCTGCCGAGCAACTCAATCTCTGGCCCCGTGTCTCCCACCCGGAGACCTCTCCCACTCTGAGGTGGACGGGCGAGGTTGGTGATGCGTCGCCGTATCGGGTCTGGGGTGCCCTCTCGCTTGTTCGCGACCCCCCCGCGGAGAAGATCTCTCCCCGCACTCTTCGCTGCGTCTTCCTTGGCTTCCCTACCGATGCCCCTGGCTGGCAGTTCTACCACCCGGGTTCCCGTCGTGTCCTCTCCTCCCAGGACGTCACCTTTGACGAGTCTGTCTGTTTCTACCGTCTCCACCCCCACCGCAGTTCCCCCGTGCCCCTCCCGCCTCTCGCACTGGTCTCCGACCCCCCCCCGGTAGCCCCACTCCCCCTGCACGGTCCTGCTCCCTCAGGTGTGTCTCAGGTTGACCCGTCCCCCTTGGTTGAGCCAGTCGAGGTCTCCTCTGACACCTCTGGCCCAGCTGAGGGGGGTGACCCGACTCTTGCTGCCACCGTGACCCCTCGCCGTTTTGCGCGCTTGGCGGTCCCTCCTGGGTTTCCGCCTCGACCGTCTTCCCCACCGCAGCAGCCTGTCGCTGTGGACTCTGGTGCTGCAGGAGGTGGTACCACTGGGGGTGCTGGTTCTGGGGGTGCTGGTTCTGGGGGTGCTGCATGTCCTCTGGGCACAGGAGGTACTGGAGGTACTGGTTCTGGTGACCCTGGTACGAGTCGACAGGAGGCTCTCTCGCCAGAGCGGCTTCGCGAGTGGGCTGTCCAGTGGGGCAGCTCTGGTGGTGGAGCTAAGCGTCTTCGAGCGGGAGGTGCTGGGACTGCTGGAGCTGGAGGTGCTGGCACTGCTGGAGCTGGAGGTTCTGCTACTGGTGGTACTGGTGCACGTCGGCAGGTGACTCTCTCGTCGGAGCGGCTTCGCGAGTGGGCTGT